ATCTTAAAATTGTACTATATGTCAGTAAAATTATTTATTTTCTTAGCTTTTTTTTTGTCGGCTTATTTTTTTAGCTTTTAGTTTCGAGTTCAGTACATATTTGAATTACGTTATTATTACGGAGTATTACATTTTTACCGTAAGAAACGGAACATAGGTCCCACAATATGACGTCTTAAACTTAAAGGATGAGAAATAGATCCCATGGGATTGGAGAGCTAACGTATGACGTCGCTAAACCGTTAAGAACTTTATTTGATTTTTTGATTAGTGGAAGAATGTAACGGTAACGGATCTAACTGGTATCGTTATGAATTTTGTAATCAACAAAGTAGTCATTCCCCCCCCCCCCCCTTGTAATCGCTAAGTAGTTTTTACCTTTTTTGTACTTGTGAGAATTAAATAAAACATATAAAAATTTCGTTAATTTATTCTGTCTGAAGAAAACTCTAAAATATAGTGAAAGACAGCACAATTGTAAAACTGTTATATACTATAAATAAACAGACAGATAAGTGATTTAGTCATTTAGATAAGTCAAGTCAACTGGATTACCAGTTAACGGATAAAATTTATTTTATTAATACAAACAGACTCTCTTTAACAAAAATAAAATAAAAACAGACTCCATGATTTATGTTTGATTCAACGGTTACTCTGATGATCAAGTAGCGTTTACAATAAGATAATTGATGTAGCCATCAAAGTACATCTATTTATAACAATATTTACACTTTATTTTCTATAAGATTCTTATTATATTTTATTTGAGATTTTAGCCACCTGTTGCAAATTCATTTGTTATTAGAGAAACTTCTTTTTATAAAAGGCTATCTATGCACTATTAATATTGCAATTATTCGTTACATTCCGGAGTCCATGTAAATCATTTAAACGATTACATTCAAAGTGGTCTTGCTTTTATTTTTAAACACCTTTAATTTGATGTTTATTTATCAAATAGATCGGTAAACAAGACTCTGCAATCATCTTTATCTTGTGGCTGAACGGTCTTGCTTTTATTTTCCTTTAAAAAAACAGGAATCAAATCTATAAGCACTATCAATTTTTTCAATTATAAGATATTCCTCCAAAAGAGATTCACAATCAACGTCGATCGATTCTCATGGAATCGAGCTTGGTAACTACTCTACTTATGTAGCTAAACTTTTTCTTTAACCAATAATAAATTATCTAGCTAAGTAATTGGAAATCACATATATATTGTTAATTGTTCCCAATACGTTATTTACGCACCCTCTTACAAATATTGCATTTCAAAGCCTTTTGATAATTACAAGGGGTATAATATTTAAATTTACGATATGAAAGTATTTTGTGTAACCTTGCAACTCTCTACTCTATATAAGCATTTAAAAAAAAAAATAGGAAACATTTATAATTTTGGACCAAATAGACATATGTGAAACATCCGATTTTAAATAAAATTGTACTTACTTCTCCGAAAAACTTAACTATCAAATATATTAGATAAAGGTGTAAATAGTATGAAATGAAAACTATATATGCAGCCCCGGCTTACAGCGTAGGGCGGTGGTACGACGGCCCGGACCTTTTAAAAAAAAAAAAAAATTTACATGTAGAAAAGGTCCAAATATTTTCTAAAAATATTATTAATATGAAAATTATATTTTAAAAGGTCTAATTCTTTATAAGAAAATGTATAAAAAGCTCAAAATTTTTAAAATAACAATTTTTACTATAAAAAATCCGTAAATTTTTCTCAAAATTAAGTAACTTTTCTCATTATATATAATAATAGGCAAAAAAAAAATTTTTTTTGTCTTAAGGCTCCCAAATATATTGGGCTGGAGCTGTATATATATGTTAAACAATGAACACATTCTTAAGATAGAGAGCGACAATAAAATAAAACAACTACACAAATAAAGTATGTAATCAACAAATTCCTTTAAATTACAAACAAAAAGTTAATAAATAGATAAAAATGTAGCCAATTTTTTTTTTAAAGGAGGTGAGATTATCTATATAAATACCAAAGCCATCTGCTGATCTTTAAGCCCCACAGACCAAAAGACACTCTCCTTTTGTTTCTCTCTCTCTCTCCACTTACTTTGCTTTGATCCGCCATGGCTACGAAACTCGAAAGCTCCTTAATCTTTGCCCTTTTGTCCAAATGCAGCGTTCTAAGCCAAACTAACATCGCTTTCTCTCTCCTCGCCGTTACAATCATCTGGCTCGCCGTCTCTCTCTTCTTCTGGACCTATCCCGGTGGACCTGCTTGGGGTAAATTCCTCTTCCGTCGGTTTACATCCGGTTCATACAAAACCGGAAACGTTATTCCCGGTCCAAGAGGCTTGCCTTTGGTTGGAAGCATGTCACTCATGTCAAGCACTCTAGCTCACCGACGAATCGCTGATGTTGCTGAGAAATTCGGAGCCAAGAGGCTCATGGCTTTCAGCTTAGGAGAGACTCGCGTGATCGTCACGTGCAATCCCGACGTCGCAAAAGAGATTCTGAATTGCCCGGTTTTTGCTGACCGACCAGTTAAAGAATCGGCTTACTCTCTGATGTTTAACAGAGCAATTGGTTTTGCACCACACGGTGTTTACTGGCGAACGCTTCGCCGTATCGCTTCGAACCATCTCTTTAGTCCAAAACAAATCAGACGAGCCGAGACGCAGCGGCGGGAAATCGCTAGCCAGATGGTTGGGTTTCTTGGAAAACAGACTAGTAACGGACTCTGTTTTGTTCGTGAGTTGCTTAAAACGGCGTCGCTTAACAACATGATGTGCTCTGTTTTCGGACAAGAGTATGAGCTTGAACAAAACCATGTTGAGTTACGTGAATTGGTCGAAGAAGGTTATGATTTACTCGGAACATTGAATTGGACCGATCATCTTCCTTGGCTATTTGAATTTGATCCTCAGAGAATCCGGTCTAGATGTTCCACACTCGTACCGAAGGTAAACCGGTTTGTATCCCGGATTATATCTGAACACCGTCATCAAACCGGTGATTCGCCTCATGATTTCGTCGACGTTTTGCTCTCCCTCCATGGTTCAGATAAATTATCCGACCCGGACATAATCGCCGTTCTTTGGGTATGCATACCAATTATTTGATAATATATTTGTTGAAAACATGAAATTTGAGTCTGAGTGTGACGTGTGGTGGAATAATTAAAGCATTAGAAGTTAGTAGTTTTTTGTTTTGACATCAAATTAGTAAATTTTATATTTTATTAACAGATTCTATAAAAAGTAAAAAGTACTAAATTTTTTTGAGTTATTATTACAGGAGATGATATTCAGAGGAACAGACACAGTTGCCGTTTTAATTGAGTGGGTCCTCGCTAGGATGGTCCTTCATCCAGATATTCAATCAACGGTACAAAACGAGCTAGATCAAATAGTCGGAAAATCAAGAGCCGTAGATGAATCTGACTTGGCTTCACTTCCTTATCTAACGGCTGTAGTGAAAGAAGTATTGAGGCTACATCCTCCAGGCCCACTTCTATCATGGGCCCGTTTGGCCATAACAGACACGATCGTTGATGGTCGTCTTGTCCCGGCAGGGACCACAGCAATGGTGAACATGTGGGCCGTATCGCATGATCCACACGTGTGGCTTGATCCTTTGGAGTTTAAACCTGAGAGGTTCGTGGCAAAACAAGGTGAGGTGGAGTTTTCAGTTCTCGGGTCGGATTTGAGACTTGCACCCTTCGGGTCGGGTCGTCGGGTTTGCCCCGGGAAAAATCTTGGTTTGACTACCGTTACGTTTTGGACGGCGACGTTGTTACATGAGTTTGAATGGGGACCGTCCGATGGGAACGGCGTTGACTTATCTGAGAAACTGAGGCTTTCTTGTGAGATGGCTAATCCTCTTGCTGCTAAATTGCGTCGTAGGCGCAGTTAAAAAAAGCTTATAAGAAAGTTAAAAGATTTTTATTAAGCAGCTTTTCGTTTTATTAGAACTAACATTTTGATACTTGATGTGATTTTTTTTTCTTTCTTTATTTATGGTTGTGTGTTGTGAGTCTGAGAGGAGAGTGATGTGTTTTTATTTTTTAGGTTGTAAATACATGAAAAGTAATTTATATTTACATCATAATGTATTTTAGACTTTTTAGTTATAATCTATAGTGTCAGATTATTTGATTGTTGTTAGCCCACAAAACTGCGCAAAATCGTTCGTTTGATATTTATAACATTTAGGAACATAGAATGAATTCTATCACACATCAAGATTGCAACAGGATATTAGATTATAAAATCAGTTTTTGGTGAACAATCTTTGCAAGTCTACTGTCATTCAGGGAATTGTTTGAATTTTTTGACAACAATTTCTTCTTTAGTAAAGTTGCATAAAAACACGATTTTTTTTGTATGTTCTATCAAAAATAACATTATTCAGGGAGAAATCCATTCTTTAGTTTTTGGTTTGTTTCTACCGGAATTTATCGAATCAATCGATAAAATTTATATAAAAAAAAACATTATTACACGTTTTAGTATTTCTTGAACAAAACAAAACTAACTTTTTTTTTTTTTTTTGTCAGCTAACAAAAGTAACTTTCTTGACGGCAAAACTTAACTTACGATTAATACTTTCATATTTTAATTCGTATATCCAGTACTGTACATGAAAACAACAAGTAAAATAATTAAAGTACTATAGTACTATTACATTCTAAATTTTGATTAATAAATTCCCTCGATTTAGTAAATTGAAAACCAACATTCCTCATCTCTCTGTGTCCTTTTTCTTGACATTTGAATTCTGTGTCTTTAAAGTGGCAAAAAATAACCGACAGTATAAAGGCTGAAATTACACATGTGCTAAGTTTTTGCTAGAAATAGAGAAGGCTTTTTGTTTTCATATTTTTGACACACACTGACACACATTCCTTCTTTGTAAGTATGCCTCACCCATTTTGATAATTAAATCCCATAATTTTGTGGTTAAGTAATAATTTAATGAAACCTATATAAGTTGGTTCTTTTATCAAAATCAAGTAAAATTACTAACCTCATGCTGCTATAAGAAATTGGCATATATCAACAAAGGGCCTACTACTACGACCCATTAACATAAAATAAATAAGACATAATAATCCAATTCTGAAACATGGGCCAAATCTTCACATAAGAGGCCCGTTATTACGAACACACAAAAACCAAGAACACTAAGACTATCTTTATTAATGGATTCTTAAGAAAATCTTAAGATGATCTTAGTAATTTTTTAGTATTATTACTAAAAAATAAAATTAAGATGAGTTGAGAGAGTTGCTTACATAAAACCAAAAAGAGGTAAATCTTAATTTTGGTTCTTAGTAATAATACTAAAAATTTACTAAGATCATCTTAAGATTTTCTTAAGAACTCATGGTCTAAGAAACTCTGATCAATTTTTTTCATCATAATTTTGTCTACTTGTTGTTATAGAATTTGAGAGCGAAAGCAACGCCGAGAATCAAGAGAGGGATCAAGTATACAAGCAACTTGTTTCCAGATTCTTCTTTAGTTGCTTCCGCCGCCGTAGATTCCTTCTCCCACGGCGGAATATACTTTTTCGTCACCGGTACCGTTGACTGGTCAACGTCACCGATGCAGTATTTCTTCATCAGCTCCTTCGCATCTTTGCTATGGTTCACGTCTTCGAAATCGATCGACGCGTCTTTTCCTTTATATTTTCATAAAAAGTTCACAAAATTAGAAACCGATAAATAAAACCAAACCAGATTAAACCAACTCGTATTCGTACTACGTACCGGTGACTGCGAGGAGAACATTGTCACCACCGGGATGTTCGTCCATGAAAGTACTGATGTCATAGACCTGTAGATTCACTATCTTAGAAACAGAGTATAAAGCTAAAAAACAGAGCATTTAAATTTGTTTTTGTGGTGTTAAAAGAAAGTAAAAATATTGGACCTTTCCATGGATGAGAATCCAACAATCGTTCTTGCACTTATGTTTAGCCACATCGTGAAACGAAATTAGATTCGTCATAGGATTGGGATTGCTCTTGCTGAGAAAGTAACTTGAAACAGAGAACTTTATATAGAGATGAAATAAATTAGATTGAAATTTTTTTGAAGAAAGCAAAGATTGTGAGGGCAAGAGATTCTAGTTTCAACGAACTGATGGGAAGAGACCACACGCGTTATGTATATATTGTAGGCTGTGAAACTCTTGAATATTGTTATGAAATTACAGTCTTATCTGGGGTAAATAGTTTAATCCTAGCTTTTTTTGAAGATGTAAGAGAACGAAGCAATATATATTTGACCAGATAATACATCTTTCTTTTTGTTGAAGTTTGATATTCTTTTCGTGTAAAATATATGACAAAAAAGAAGGAAGGTAAAAAAGGGTACCTACCATAGTAAAACGTGAAGAATATGGAGTTTGTAAGTTAATGGTAGCTGAGATGCATCATCCAAGTGGTCAGGTTGGTGAAGCTCTATCACGTTTATATCTTTCTCTTCAGCAAAAGAAAAAAAAGTCAAAAAGAAAGAAAGAAAGAAAAGTCAAGCCTCAATTTTCTTTTGTTTTTAACTTTTAAGAAGCCTCAAAATCACTTTTCTCATCAGGCCCAATAACGCAAAAGGGCTTCTTGTTTTGAGTAGGATAATTTAGTCCTTTATCAATTTATGACTTCATGTTTGAAATTTCTTCAAAATTGACCAAGCTATAGCATAATGGAATCACAGATTCACCACAATCCACGATTCTATTTAAACGGAAGCTTTTAAGAACGATTTATTGATATATAGATACGTCTAAGTAAGAAAACATATGACATAGTAATAAAAATACAATATGCATAACTGGAAACAAATAGTAATAACTTAGTAATGTTTGTAGTAAGAAAGCAATACATCTCAACAGTCTTAACAATACCAACACATTCTGAAATAACAAAAAAAAAAAAATCACATATAATATAGGAAGCAACAGATCCAATGATTGCTCTTGTACGACGTCGTCGTCCTAAGACTTCTAGGCCACGCAATCTGTTCCACAAAGCATATATATGAGCAGATGAAAGACACAAATCATATCGAACACCTAAACTAAACTAATTAAGAAATACAAACCTTGAATGTTAAGAAGACAATGTGACTCGAGAGCTTCACAGTTCCGAGTTGGCTGGTATGGAACGTCTATATCTGGATGGATCTTCTTCTTCAACATCCTCTTAATCATCTACAGTAATATATACTCATATATGATGCTATAGTTGTGCACATCGAATGAATATTTACTCACATATGAGTACACTTATGAAGCAACAAAAGTGATGCTAATTATAACATGCACGCAACATTACAAGAGCTTGACGTGACATCGTTTCGCTGGAGTTATAGAGGCACATGTAACATGTTCATATATATCCATCATCATCAATGTTACATAATTATGGAATTAATTAAAACAAATTTAAATACCTGACGCATTTTCTTAATTGGACGTAAGTCTTTTTCTTCGTCTTTGGACTTTGACATGACCAGCTTCTTCTTAACAAACGAGAACTTCTTACTTAGTTTTGAACCGTTTTGTTTATAATATTTAACCTCCTCACCGTCAAGGTTAGGGTTCTTGGGTTGCTTGCCATGCCACGTGTCATAGCCTTCGTCGTGGACCTCGTGGTCCTCCATGAAAAGCTCCGCAAGTGTTGTCCTCTTCTTCTGTGGCTCTATCTCTGCTTCCTCCTCTTCTCGTTACAATCTGGCGTTTCTTTTTTTTTTTTCTGAGCCATATTGATCTATTATCTGTCCAATACGGCCTGTACGTACAGATTATAAATTTAATACGAAAGATGATGGCAAGAAAATCAGTCTCAAGAAGATATAATTTTATGTATCTTTTCTTTTCTTTCTTTTGCATATATGTGATGATCTCGATTGACTCAAATGTAATTCCTGCATTTATATGTTTTTTAGTCATATTTTGAAAGAAAAACCAAATTTTTATAGATTAGTGAACGGAAAATCCTTCCATTTTAGTTAACTTACTTCTACAATTAGCAATTGAATTAATTAGTTTAATTTTTTTGAAATTGTGGATCCATTCGAAATTATATATAATATTCAACTCAACGTAAGTAAGCGCATACGAACAATTGATGAATGCCTGTTTTAAGTCTGTATAATCTATTCTCTATTGGTAAAACGATGCGGTGATAAAAGTGTACTCAATAGAATTGATTAGTAGTACGTACCCCAACATCTTTATGATGATCATAAAACTTATTTTCTTCAGAGATAAGAGGATCCAACTCTTGGTCCACGTTCTTGATGATGCTGCCATCAATTACGACATAGTCGAGATCCACACTCTCACATTCATCATCATCTTCTTTTTCATCTTCTTCTTTAAAGTTCAAGGTGTCGAAACCAAATGTGCCGATGGTGAGAACTCCATCGAACCAATTATCAAGGGCATCCACTAACCCCACTTGATCCAATATAGCTTTCGTGTTCTTCTCAATCTCACTTATTCCTTCATTTCTCTTCTTCTTCTCGTTTTTTGTCACACCATCTATTTCTTTCACCATATGAAAATATACATGTATGGATCTAAATATAGCTTGGACAAAATCTATGCTTTAGCGAACGTGGTATACGTTAATATAAAACTATACATTAAACAGGGAACCACATGATCCTATATGATACTACAAAAAGTAAAACTACTATTCAGCTAAGCACACAATATTTTAATAAACAAATCAAAATACTGATTATATAAAAAACAAAAAAGCTAACCTTTGATGACATTTTGGTGCAGCTTTTTCTGCACCCAGTTAAAGATCTTCGGAAAATCCCGGAAAACAATTAAAGATTTATAAGTCCGAGCTATATATATAAAAAAAAAAAAAGATCAAAGCAAAAGATATAACAACAAATTTACGTACCGTCATAGTTTTCTCTATTTCTCTTATCAGTAGAGTGAAAGGTCTCAACCAAAACCGAATAGTGTGAAATGAGAAATTTATTAGGACACTAAATAATCATAAGGAGAGTTCTTTAGCTTCTGACACGTGTTAAATACAGTGTGTGGGTTGGATCGGTCTGACTTTTGGGAGGCAAAGCCAATAAGTAGGTGCCACCTGTCAGTGGTGTTGTGCTTTCTGGTCGTCACACTATTCGTTATCATACCCTCAATTATTAAGAAATTACTTTTTGGCCCGATTACTTATATATTATCAAAATTTGACCTGATAATCTTAATCATTTTTAGTTTTGCCTTTCAGTGGTAAATTTCTTGTAATCTTGTTGGTAGACTTCTGTTGCTTTCAATGTTCTATCATTTGATTAGACATTGAAGGAAAAATTCGTTGCATTAAAGCGATAGTTTTGGTTTCAATCAATTTTTTTTCAAAATGGACGTACAGTTTTAATATCTTATTTCAGTATATCATATTAACCAGCTTTGGATTCCCTAAAGAAGGTACAAATATAATGGAAGCAATTCGCTCACTGTGGTCATCATAATATAAATGTCGAGGAATGTCGTCGCGGATCGTTGGTTCACTGTCAACAATATTACTTTTTTTTTTTTTTTAATTCTGTCAACAATATTACAATTATGTATTCAAACTCTATCGATCAAATTTTAAGAGTGATAATCATCGACTTTTTTAAAAGTTGACGTAAAATTATCTTCAAAATTGGAAAAAGCTATGCCAATTCTCTTGACAGAAACACTTGCTATATACTTAAGTTATTAACAAGATTATTATGTTGTAAACTCCAAATTACATGGGCAATATTCCGTTACTAATAGATTAATTGCCAAAAATAATAATTTACGGATTTATAATCTGACACCAACTTTTATCAAATCGTTAGTTGTAAGGTATTGGATACCTATTAAATCCTCAAAGATACAATATTAAAGATTCGGAGGACTATGCATAATGCATTCACATGCAAAGTACCCTTAAAGCTTTTTGAAGAGCACACAATAGCCCACAGATACTGTTAGGATTTGGACACTTCAGTCTCCTTTCTCTTTGTCAGTTGCTTCTTGTTCTCGAACTTTTGTTATCTTTTGCCTAATTATATGGCCACTTTGTTCAATTGCATAAATTTTCGAAAGTATTGTACTACTTAATTTACACTAAATATCCGATCCCTGTGTTATGTTTTTTTTTATTTGATAGTGATGTTTTTGCTCTTGTAGAAATTTAGAAAAATTCACAAAAATTGACCGAGAAAGTAACAAAGAGTACAATTAAGCTTAAACCCCTCTGGCTTTTCAGTCCTCCAAGTTCTATTTATTCATTAAAATGCTTAGTTTAGTTCACCTAGGCTTGGACAAAAAAACCGCTAACTAAATAACCGACCGAACCGAACGGAAAAAAACCAAACCATATCCGAACCGAAGTTATTAAAATAACCGAATAGTTTGTGAAATCTCCTATCCAGACTAACCGAAACCGAACCGAACCGATAACCAAACGGTTAACCGAAATATCCAAAAACCTATAAGATACTCAAAAATAATATCCAAAACTATAATTATAAACTCAAAATATTAATTATTCTTAGAATAAAAACAATCAAATACTTTAAATAATCAAAATATTCAAATATTGTTTGTTATATTTGTCAAAGTTAAATACTCTTTTACAAAATTGAATCAAATTTTAATTTTTTTTTCTAATATTTTTCTTTTTTTGTATTTTTTTGGTCAATTTTGGTTAGTTTTGGTTAGTTTCAGTAAATTTTGGTTAATTTATGTAAAAACCCGAACCAAACCGAACGTGATAAAAATTTGGTTAGTTACGGTTATCTATTTAAATATCTGAACCGAACCGAACCGAAATTCTTAAAATATCCGAATGGTTATTATATTACCATATCCAAACTAACCGAAACTGAATGTAACCGAACCGAAACCGAATAATTAACCGAATGCCCAGGCCTAAGTTCACCCCACTTGTTTTTCCAGAAACTGTATACAATCACTAGAAAAGATGTGTACGTAGATGTATAAAATTTACATTACAAAAAAAATATATATAAAATAAGCATATGCGTTTGTTGGGGATATTTTATTAGATAAATAGATAAATAGATAAATAGGAGCTTATTGAAGCATGTGTTTTCGGTTAGACCATGTATAAAGGTGATATTTTTTAAGTATCATAAGCCCAAAAATTATTTTTATATGGACAAAACAATTAGAATGGGCCTGATCAGTATCAGTCCAGTGATATTTTTGATATCAGTATCATCTGACGTGGTATCTCCTGATTTGTCGCGTTTGTCAAAAGCAGAGAAAAAAAAACATTAAACAAATATTATAAATAATACTAAAAATTTCTTAACGATACTTTATGAATATCACCTAAGACCATGCTCTAAGTCTCATACACACAAACCAATTAACATTTGAGTACAAGTAATTGAGTTGATTTGAAAGTCATTTGATTAGTTAACAAGGTTTTCTCTTTTCTTTACATAGATTTGTCGCTTCTGACCATATAATAAACTTGGAATATATTTATCCAAATCGTTGCCCCCAATTTCCTAGCTAAAATAGATGTACCTTAATACAAATTGTATTAGGCCGAAAAATATGATGGCGAAAAAAATAAAAAATGGGCCTACGCAGTATACATCGGGCTTCACAATATAATGGGGCTTTCTGGGATAGTAATAATAGGATGATTTCATGATTATTGAAAGAGAGATTTCTCATTAATTAGGGCAGAGAGAACCAAAGGGGCGTTTACAAGTAGTAAAAAAAAAAAGGTTCGTTTTAAAGTAAACGAATCAAAGCCTCCATAGAAGTGAGAGGGTCTCCAAAAGCTTAGAGAAGAATCAGAAACCATTAACCTCACTCATATTTTCTTTATTCTTTTTTTAAATAATCCGGAAGATCCCAGACCCAACGTGATATATTCTTCTTTTTCATCAGTTGGTGTATCCGCCATTATTACCGTAATCACTGACATGAAAACCATTGTCGGAGCCAGGTTTCCGGGAGATTTTAAGATGAACGCCGGGATCATGATGAGATGCCGTCGAGTTGTAAACAATGGAGTTGTTTATCATCTGAACGTTACTGTTCATAAAAGCTTTCATGGGGAGGTTACTATTGCCATTGTTGGGGTTCTTCGTCGTTTTCTTCTTCCCTTCTCCTTCGTCGCTGCTGCTACTGCTGCTGCTTTGAAGTCGACGTCCTTTCTCTCCGGTGCCGTGTGAAACCCTTGAGGAATGTGTTCCTGAACCTCCTGTTTTGTTGCCTTGAGGAGATCGCAGGATCTCCATTACAGCACCTTTGTTTTCACCTGCAATGGTGATGACTCGTGTGCTCATTATGTTCTCAGAATCGGAAGTAGATGGTTGACGATGCATCTTCTTGGGGTTGTTGCCTTGATGGTTATGGTTTTGGTTATAGTTATGGTTCTGGTTGTAGTTATGGTTCTGGTTATGATGACTTGGTTCGTGGGTTTGGCTTGTTTTCTCGGCAGTGAGAATGTTTTTCTGAGTGGTTTCCCGTTCCGAATGTAACTGAGAAGGTGGGAGAGAGTAAGGTGAGAGTACTCTCGGTGATGGTGCTTTCCGATGATTCTCTGACTCTGATGCAGACCGAGTTTTCACTGACTCAGATGATGTAGACCGACTTGAATGAGCTGGACTCCGTGGTGAGTTTGGTTTTCGCGGTGGTAAGGCTTCTTGAACTTCCTTGGGAGATGGTGGCGGCGTGTATGACGACCGAGGTGGTGGCGGCGGTGGTGTCGCAGCCTTTGGTGGGGTCGGTGGTGACATGTGGCGACTTGGAGGTGAATGATATGGGGACCGCTCTTGAGGAGGTGAAGTTGGCTGTTGCTGCTGACGTGGAGGGGTAAGAGGCTGTTGCTGCTGACGTGGAGGGGAAGGAGGTTGTTGCTGACGTGGAGGTGAAGGAGGTTGTCGCTGACGTGGAGGTGACGGTTGTTTTGCCGGAGGTCTGACTACGACCGTACGGCGTGGAGTTGGTCGGGGTTGAGGTGGAGGAGGCTCGCTTGAACCTTGTGATGTTGGTCTAGCGATGCTAGAGAGACGGAACCATGGACGAATGTTAGACATTATATAGTGTATATTTATTTGAAACGTAAGATGTTATTTATAAGTGTGGCAAAACACAATGGAACGATTTAGATATGTAACCAGAGCTTATATATATAGATAGATTATAGACAAGTGTGTTGAAGAAAAGTGAAACACGAGAAACATGAAAGGAAAAAAGTAAAAATGAAGAAGAAAGGTATCAGATCCATGCAATGAGATTTACAGCTTGCAAAACCCACATTTTACGACTCGTATCAATCGTTAAGAGCCACTTTCAAGCTTTTCCTTTTATAACTTATCTATCACCGTTGATGAATCAATTTAGGTTATAAATTCGTTGCTATGTCTGGAAAAAAAACTGTGCATCTAGTCACAGTGACGCAAAAGACGAACTAAATCCATATGCAGAACAAAATCTTTACAATAGTCCCTCGAACTAGCCACTTGCAGAAAAAACGATGCATGTGTGATTTTGTAGTCCATTTTTATATTTGAAATTTGCTCGACCACAACACAAGACAAATGAATTATCATAATTTTTATAGTAGCTGGGATAGATCATAGGCCGAAATCCATATTATCACTATTTGATTGGTTTAATTTCAATTTAAATCATAAAATTTTAACTTTGTTTCACTTTTTTCTTTCTAATTATGATGTTTTCGAAAAATGAATGCTAAGGAGAGAGTAGTGTTTTTCCACTAATATGAGACACAAATTATTCCCTGATTCTCCTCTATTTTTTGTCGATTTGACTACTAAGTATAATACTAACTAGTATACATATATGTATACTTTTTATACGAACGGTTGATATTGTTTCATTCAGTATTTTTGGACAACTTGCTTTTATTCAACGATTATTAAAACATATCAAAAGGGAAACTTCAGAAACCAAACATCGAATACTAATGAGCAATAAAAGGTATCAATGAGCTAAGCCTCTTCCTCAGCTTTTTCTTTTTCAAATTCATAAAACAAATGTATTGATCACTACTCTGAGTGTGAGTGAGCCATTAATTCTTTCCTTTACGAACAAAAAAATCTTATGGCAACATATATATATATATATATATATATATATATATATGATCATTTAAAAAAGATACAATGGTTCAACTTGAGAGTGTATTATCGGTTGCTTATTGGGCATCAGAAGTACCTATCTCAAGCGTAGTATCTAATTACTAGCCTCTCTTATATTCTATACATTACAAATTTAAATCTTATACACCACAAATTTAAATCATATATTTTGTGTTTCTCATAAAAGATCATATCTGTAGTCCACGTCATCAACATAATTAGAAAGAACTTCAAAAGTTATTTAATACACACTTCATAACTTTTTTTATCTAAAGAGAGAATTTTTTTACTTTTCGTTAACGGACTAAAAGAGATCATTCGAGATAATTTGGTAGTAGAAAAAAGTCTAATAAAATAATTCTCTGTTATTCAAAAATATCAACAAAACTAACTACTAGGAGTGTAAATCTCCAAGTTATTATATAAAGTAATAAAGATATACATACATATATATATATATATATATATATGTATGTATAAAGATATACATACATATATATATGTGGAGTATATATAGATATACATGTTAATATCTTCTAAATTCGCTTTCACATCCAATTGTCTCTTTCTAACAATCTTATTCATTGGTGCAATTTTAGTAACAAATGAAACTAACGTTTAAAGAATCATCAACCCTTTTGAAATTTTTGAACTCGTTGAATATGGTTACTTTTGAACTCTGATATCTAATATTGGCGATAAATATATGGCAATTAAAGTTGTAATATGACAATTGAATTGGATAGATTATGTATAGGCCCATTATTCTTAAGAGGTCGATTTGTAATGGCCTTTGGTCAATAGTTCGATAATTCAACATAAGCAAATTATAAACAATCTTAATGAAGCGAAATAAATCATTTTCATTAGTTCGCGTTATAGACAGTAATGGACTTATAGTCAAGAATATAAATCAGCTTATTTGTTATTTTCTCATATTTTCCGTTTGAAACTATATTTCTGTACTATTTAAGTCAACGTCAAAGAAAGACTATATACTTAATTCGTTCGAAACACGTTTTCTTGTTGTTGTTAGAATTCTGTTTTGTTAAGTTTGTCTCGAATAGTCAACATACTTATACACATGGAATGGTTTAGTCGGATTATATGTCAATAAACATACTAATGAAGTCACTGTATAATGTATACAATATATTGATCATACGTTAAATTCATTCTTAATGTAGTAGCACATGCAAAATATGCTAACCTGACCCAAATTCATTTTTATTTAATTTCTTTGAAACTTAGAGTAAACCTAAGTTCTCAAAACAAAAAAAAAAGCCTCTAGATTTAGTATTTTTTAACCCATTTCGGGATTGATTCTTTTGAATACATTATTTGTTTATATATGACTAAAAAATATAATAACCTAGATGTTAGAGTCTATTTCAATTTTCGGTTTGGTTTTGGTTTTTGGATTTTCGTGTTATAAAATGTTAAGAAAAATAAAAATTATACAGTATGTTTCAGTTTTGTTTGACCTGGATTTGCTTTTTAACAAATATGTGCGTTTCTATTTGCAGTATTAAAAGTATTGATATAGTTTCAGTTTGGTTTAAATCGGATCAACCAGAAAGATCAGCTCGATCTTAAAATATGCATAATTGAACATAGAATCATGATGAATGCACATACCGATGACGTTCAATTGGTACAACTTTACAGGCAATCGATTAGTGCAGAAAATGTAAAGCAAAAGCTGAAAACTGATAAAAATAACGAAAGATACAGCATTTATAGCAAAAAGAGATAAAAGAGCCATTATTTCCATTGAATGTAATTATTATGGCTTCAGAAATTTGAAATTTCCCATGCTGAAACTTTCAAAGTCTTTTTTGAGTCCGCCTATACACATCTAGTTGTACAACAAAACCATTTAAATTATTTTTGAAAATAGAGTAAAATGCATGTACAATTCCCACTTGTAACGAAGCGATTCTTTTTAGAAGAGTCTGCAAATTACAAAAGAAAATATACAATGAAAAGCCGAGAATTCTATTCAGAAACCACAGATCATTAAACCCAACTTATTGTAAATTAGTCTTTAGACGAAAACATATTTAAGTTTGCATGATATTAAGATTTTAAAAAATCATAATTAAGCAAAATGAATGGTTAACCAAAAAAAAACAAAATAACATATGGATAAATAATAGAGTTATATGATATAGACTTATACCTTAACGTCATTATATAGGATGTTTTTGAGTTTTTATTATGTTTCATGTTTTACAAGTTTCAATGCAAATTTTAAATGTATTTAATATTTTTTATTATATAGATTATGCAGTCTCTTTTGTAATTGATTGATTTTTTAAAAGTCAAATATTAAATAATTAATAACTTTAAAAAGAAAATTAAATTTCTTAAACAATGTGTTTTTAGCTAAAACATCATATAATTTGAGTCAGAGAAATTACCAAATAACAAACACCAAACACATGCAATCCTAAAAAGACCACAAGTGTCTTTACTCATGAACATGACACTTGTCTAGTAACTGTAATGAATTAATTATGATTGATTGTTGCGACATTTCATATTATCCAAATACGAATCCCCTTCGACTGACGGATTTTTGGTCGGTTAAACTCCTTTGTATTAGGCTGATTTTGTGTGCAACTTAGGAAGTGAATTTTCATGTACGTTTTGTTTTTACGAGAGTAACTTTTTGTGGGATTTAGCCACTCTCACTCGACAACGCTAACCACAAATCCGATGCTCTCGCTACATACCAACAATAAACACAATATAAAGCTATGAATTGTTGAAAAATAAGCACTTTAATTACTCATTTAATCGTTAATCAAAATTTAATTAGTCGACGTTGAAAGCAGAATAATTTAAGAAAATTAGCGTAGCGGCATAAAGCATCTGCTATATTCTTCTGCTATATTGTAAGAATAATTATATGCGGCTATTCCGGAAAATTATACTTAATGGTCATTACTTTAATTGTAAGATGTTAGTTGGTGGTGGGAACTAAGCTTTTGGGCTTAATCATGAACCATGAACTATACAAAAGCTGTCTTTTGATCGAATGGATTCGTTTTTTTTTTATCAGTATCCCTTTCAAAACTATAAAGTATCAAGTCTTAGTCATTCATATTATAATCATCTATCTAACTAATATTCCTATATTAAAATTAACTAGTTAGCTAGTTATCAATTTATCAAATAAAACCCTTCAAAATGCCAAAGGGTTACGCCGCTTTAATTTGTTAAATTGATATAAATAAAAGTTGGGTAATTCCTCCTCTTGCGCCGACCTCAAATGTTCTGACAAATTAGAATGAAAATGACAGACAAATTTAGCTTGTTTCTTAAGTGAATTAGCAATGAACTCCTGTCCTTGATACCGATTGTAATTAATATATATGTGGAATATTCGAGTAATGAACAAAAAATAGTACTAATTTATTGTGTCCAAAAGAAAATAAAAACAAAAAAAAAATCATGTTGCTAATTTTCCTCATTCAAGTTGACTTTACAAGTTTGTCTTGCCACGATAGTTGAAAACTAATCTGCAACGAAGAATAATATTTCAGTTGCCGTATCAAATGCAACATGAATCGTGTTACCAATAGACTACGCTGTTAATCTTCCTTATGCGTAAAGATAAATATTTAACTCGATACCTAACTTATACTTATCTATATATTTAAATTTATAAGAAAAAACAATTATAAATGCCATCAAAACTAAATGCAACATGTTTTAATATTTTCCTCATTCTAAGTAAACTATATATGTCATTAATAGATAGGACCAAAATATTATCCGTTGAGTTTTTTTTTTTTCTGATACTGTAGATAAACTTTAAATTTTTGTTGTTATTTTTTATTTGGTTTATGTTGTTGTATATTTTCGGCTTTTAGAAATTAGAATAGCAAAGATATATCATTACTTGATTTTTTTTATTACGAATGTTAATATTTTATTATTTTTTCTTCTTTTTTTTACTCGTAAATATTTTTATCTTAGACTTTTCTTCTAAATCTGTATATATTTGGTTTATAAGAAATTAATGAAATATACACGAAATATAAATTGAATATCTCTATAAATCCAATGAATTTTTTTTCACTTATATTACTCATTTATTTTGCCATGTGGATTATCTTAAAAACAAAATCTTCCAAATCACCAATCAAAGAACTATTCAAACAACTAATCGCCGTCACCTAAATCACCCCTTTGATTCGTCCCCGTCACGCCTTCTTAATATTAAAAGGAAAAAACAATTTCTCGTCGTCCTTTTCGACTTTCTCCGAGTGTTCTTAATATTCCTAACTCTCTCGATCTCCGTCAAAATAATCACTCTCTCTTTGTTTTTCCTCACAATTCTCCGAACATGCCTTTGATTTCTCTATTCTCGAATAATCCTTGTAAACTCTTCTTCATCGTTAATACTATATAATATATATGTTCTTCTAGCTGAGTTTTGGAATCAGACAAGGGTTTTACGTTTTACTTTTTTTCTCCATGGGGATTCTCTGGGATTCGTTTCTCTTCTTACTTGTAGCAACTTTTGCTCTGTTCTTAGTTAGAATCGTGTTATTCAAAACAGGATTGATTTACATGGTGAAGTTATGGCGGAGGAAGATCATCGACTGGTTTCATGTTTACCAATTCTACAAAGTCCCAGAATTCAACGACAACGTTCAAGAGAATCATCTCTACCAAAAAGTATACTCGTATCTAAATTCCTTAAGCTCAATCGAGAATTCTGATTTCACGAATCTCTTCACCGGGAAAAAGTCCAACGAAATCATCCTCCGGTTAGATCGGAACCAAGTCGTTGGCGACGAGTTTCTCGGCGCTAGAGTTTGTTGGATTAACGGAGAAGACGAAGACGGAGCGAGGAATTTCGTTTTGAAGATTCGTAAAGCTGATAAACGGAGAATCCTCGGTCCTTATCTCCAGCATATACATACAGTATCTGATGAGCTTGAACAGCGGAGCACAGAGCTTAAGCTTTTCATCAACGTCGGAATCGACGATCATCTCAAGAAGAGGAAGAACGGACGGTGGAGATCAATTCCGTTTGATCATCCTTGTACCTTCGACAACATCGCCATGGAAACCGATCTGAAGAACAAAGTCAAATCCGATCTCGAATCTTTCCTCAAAGGTAAACAGTACTACAATCGCCTTGGCCGTGTTTGGAAACGGAGTTATCTCTTATACGGACCTTCCGGTACCGGAAAATCAAGCTTCGTCGCAGCAATGGCGAATTTCTTAGACTACGATGTTTACGATATAGATCTCTCCAAAGTTTCAGATGATTCAGATCTTAAGATGCTTCTGTTACAAACCAGAGGCAAATCGGTGATCGTGATCGAGGATCTAGATCGGTACCTCTCGACGAAATCAACGGCTGTGAGTTTATCTGGGATTTTGAATTTCACTGATAGTATTCTCAGTTCTTGCACCGCCGATGAACGGGTCATGGTGTTCACGATGACTGGGAAAGAACAAATTGACCCGGCTATGCTTCGACCGGGTCGGGTCGACGTGCATATTCATTTTCCGTTATGTGATTTCACGGCGTTTAAAACGCTGGCTAATAACTACTTAGGTCTTAAAGAGCACAAGCTTTTCTCTCAAGTTGAAGGAATATTCCAAAACGGTGCGTCTTTGAGTCCCGCCGAGATCGGAGAATTGATGATCGCGAATCGTAGCTCGCCGACTCGTGCGTTGAAGTATGTCATCAATGCTTTGCAGACTGATGGAGATCGGAGAGGAACTGGACGACGTTTGCTTTTAGAAAGCGGTTCGAGAAAATCGACGTCGGAGGATGTGTCCGATGATATGAGTGGTTTGCTTTGCGGCGGTGGCGGAGGAGGAAGTTCGCCGGCGGTGAAGGAGTTTAGGAAGTTGTATGGGTTGTTGAGGATAAAAAGTAGTAGGAAATCTGGATCGTTCGATGTGGCTAGAGAGATGAAGGACGGCTAGTGATTAAAAGGTTTTTATAAGTCAGCAGCCACGTGGGTTGGTTTTATTGGTTGAAAGAGTCTGGACAAAAAGCGCAAACTAGAGAATGTTACTCTGTTTTTATTGTTTTTGGGATTTAGTTTATGTACAGAAGTTAATATAAATTTTTGTTTTTTTTTTTTGAGATTTGATCATTTTGGGCCGATTGTAAAAAAAGGCCCATAGAGGCAAGCCGATTGATAATTAAGTGAAATACCAAATATGCCCTTCATGATCGAATTAGATCAAACGGTTATGGTGACAGCGTCAATAACACGCTTTTTGGTTCCGTCATTATAAGATTTTGTGTTATTATTAAAACGAAGCTCCGTCTTCTTCGTCGAGCGTCGTTGTCGTCTAGGGTTTATCGTTCTCGTTGTCTACTCAAATTCTTCAAGGTAAATCGAATCTTTCCCTCAGAAGACGATGCTTTATCGAATCTCAAGATACTTTGCGTGTCTTTGTTTATGTTGATTACAATTTTGGTGATAGGAATTCGATTTCTTCTGGAAGAATGAGACCTGTGTTCGTTGGGAATTTCGACTATGATACTCGCCAATCGGATCTTGAAAGATTGTTCAGCAAGTACGGGAGGGTGGAGCGAGTTGACATGAAGTCTGGTAAAACTTGTTATTGCACTTGAACTCCTTGTGGCGATCAAATTTGCTGTTGCAGTGTCTGTTTGATATAGGTTTCTGGAATTTGAGAACTTCTCAGGCATTATTGATTGATTCTTTTTCTACTGAAGCATGAATTAGTATTAAGAGTGTGGAGAGAATTCAACAGGAACCATGACTAGGAGTGTGTTTAAGAGAGGAGTTCTCGTATTTAAGTGTTTGTTTGGTCGCAGGAGCTTTCTCTAAAGGAGCATGAGTGTGTTTCCTCTTTTCATGGGATTGCCAACTTCTTCCTGCAAATAGATTCCTACATTTTTCTCATGCCTACCCTTATCATGTTGTGCCTACAATCTTCGATGAGCCCTACAATCTATTGCCTTGTTTCTTCATGCCTTTCATTTGTGAACTCCTACTGTCAAGAATGGTGACGCAACGCTTAGCAGTCATTCAGAATTGAACAATAAATTCGATTTTATTACCTTTTCATAGGCTACATTCTACACATCTACATCTTTATTTACTACAACATCATCGAACGCCTCTACTTCTTATGTACACCAGCCTTCACATTGATGCAGGTGTTGTATATTTATTTAGTTTTCTTGTCTTTCTCTAGGTGAAAAGGTGTCTTCTAATTGACTAACTCTTCATTGCAAATTCTGTAGGCTGAAACTGTGTGTCAATTCATATGCTGCGTTTTCTTATCTTGTGTTTGTATTTTTCTTGCAGGGTATGCTTTTGTGTATTTTGAGGATGAGCGTGATGCTGAAGATGCAATCCGTGGGACTGACAATACCACTTTTGGCTATGAGCGACGCAAGTTATCAGTCGAGTGGGCCAAGGTATCTCTTCCTTCTTTCTCTAATCATATGATCTTATTGTTTAAGAGAGCTCTAAGTTTCTTCTGGCTTTAAGGGTGAACGTGGGAAGCCTCGTGATGGAAAGGCAGCCTCGAATCAGAGACCTACAAAGACACTCTTTGTCATCAACTTTGACCCTATTCGCACAAGAGAGCGTGATATGGAGAGACACTTTGAGCCATATGGTAAAGTTCTCAATGTTCGCATAAGGCGCAATTTTGCTTTTGTTCAATTTGCAACCCAGGAAGATGCAACCAAGGCTCTTGACTGTACTCACAACAGGTAACAACATGCACGCTTAGTTAGTACCTTTTTATCTAACAGATAGTGATTGATTAAGTGGTAATCCCTTACATTGTTTATCCTCTCGTGGCAGCAAAATATTGGATAGGGTTGTTTCTGTTGAGTATGCTTTGAGGGAGGATGGTGAAAGAGAAGATAGATATGCTGGCAGTCCAAGAAGGAGATCTCCTAGCCCAGTGTATCGGAGGCGTCCTAGTCCTGATTATGGCCGTCCTCGCAGTCCTGAATATGACAGGTACAAGGGTCCTGCTCCTTATGAAAGACGTAGGAGTCCAGATTATAGGCGTCGCAGTCCAGACTATGGCAGAGCAAGAGCTAGGAGTCCGGGCTATGACAGATACAGGAGGTAAGAGTACTTGGCTTCTGAATGTTCAATATCCTTTAATAGTTTTTTTTTTTTTTTGTCGAAATCCTTTAATAGTTTATGTGCTACTTTAGTTGTCTGATTTTTCTTTTTGTGTTTTTTAGCAGCCGGTCCCCTATTCAAAGAGCAAGAGGTTGAAGATGTTGTTGGGCGATGGATTTTTAAAATGTATGGGTTTTCTATGTTAGTCGGGTACAAAAACAAGTTATTAGTACTGAGTCTTTACCGCTTATGACTTGAACCGTATGTGCTTTGCTACTATATGTGGTGTAGAAGTATTAGTAGCTTATAATGACAATGATCTCTTTTGGAATTGGAATAGTTTCATGGTTGGTTCCTGTGTAATCATTCAGTTTTAAAGGATCAAGAAAGCTTTTTTTCATTTTATATTCAGAAACATTTATAGGTTCTGTAGAAGTAAAAAGAGAATACACAAGAAAGGAGGATGATCAGGGCATAGAAGAGAGATTGTGATTACGTAGTTCTTGGGTGAGTGCTTTCTCCAACCAAGTTTCCGCATCTTCCATCATCTCGGGGCTTAACCGAACCATGAGAACGCAGAATTCGGTTTGGTTAAGAGCACCGTCTCCATCAAGGTCTCCTTCTCTAACCATTCCTTGAGCATCTTCCTTGCTCATACCTTGAATCCCAAGTATCCCAGAGTTTCGTCTTAGAGACTCAGCTGTGATGAGATCTCGCTCTGGATCCGCAAGCAAACTGAAACCTTTGCATAACTCTGATACAAACTCTTCAACATCCATCATCTCTGCCATAACTGGCAACATGTCTTCGTATTTGGTCTCCATCTTCGTCGTAGTGGTAGTTTCTAGTATCATAGATTTCCCGGTTGGTTCCATTAGAGGATGATAATAGAAGAGAGAGAATAGATTTTGGTGAACTCTTTTGATTAGTTCCAATGGGATATATAAGTGAGTGGCGTATCTGTACCGATGTGATTGTCACGTTCGTGTGGTCTAAAACTCTCTCTTGAATCGTAGCCGTTGGATTCTGAGAGTTGAAATAATGAACGGCTGAGAATTATTCCAAGATAAAATGCGATTTCGTGAGTAGGGGAAGCAGCTGATTATTAGGTGGTTTCGTGGAAAGTTCGAATGGGCCGTGAATACGACGCATCCCCACTATCATATATATATTGTTATCAAAAGAAACACAAGACAAAGGTAAGTTTCGGAGAAATTTCGTTTTCTTGATTTCTTCTGTCGTATCTTTCGATTTTTTTTTGTTTGTTTTAATATTTACTTCAATTGGAATTGGATTCTCTTACAATAATAACGACAGATAATAAAATATCTCTTTCTCCGTCGTCCAAGCCTTAACTGATTTGATGCAACGGTAATTTCTTGTCTGAATTTGAGATGCGACTATTATTGGATGAACTCAAGTAAATACAAAAATTGAATTCTGCAAATGACTAATGAAATCTTCTTTTATTATATACTCTCTTTTTTTCGGGACAAAAAGAAAAGAGCTTTGTTTTCTTTCAAGCTCCAATTCGTCACGCACAGCAACTTCTTGTTGATCTTTCTTTCACAACAAGTACAAATAGTTCATCAGAAATATCAACACGGCCACACCATAAAAACTATGACAAAATCCATCTATAACATTTTATTTCATGTTACCTCAGCCTTCCCATATAGATTTAATTTTAAATGACATAGAAACAAGACATTTTTAACTGGAAAGTATATTTAACTGAAAAAAGTTGTTAAGAAAAAGATAAAATGATTATTGTGGCTGTTTGAACAACTAACCGAGGACATGCTACAAGCCTACATAACCATCTTATGTTTAATATTGGCAAAGCAGTACATATATAAATGTGACCTAAAGCACTCTAGCTGGCAGCTGCCTTATTGATGGGCTGGGCTTATTGATCTCCCAAGTGTTCGATTTAACGAGTATATCACACTAACTTCTAAATCGATAATAGATATGAATAAATCTGTTACGAAAACACTTATACAGATAGAAGAAGCGATGAATACATAGTTACATTACATATATGTAACACTCGCGACATTCGTATTCACATATTCTTCTACCCATACATAACGCCGTGATTTATATACTAATTAATCAACAAACCAAAATGAAAAACCAACCCAAATTACCATCAAACCAAACTATAAAACATTTCGAAAATAAAATAAAAACCCCAAAAAGAAAGGAGAATAAAAAGACTATGTTGTGTTAGCTAAGTTCTGACAACTTTAACTAAAGTAACCCATGTGAGGCAAAAAGATCATGAAAGAGAATTAGAAAGCTAATTTCATAATCTCCTTTTGATCATTTTGCTTCACCATGAAGATCCTCCTCCTGTAGTACTGAACATCCCAGTCCAATATCCATTATTAGGGCTTGAGTTATTATTATTATTATTTCCATGACTCTTTTGTTGTTGATTATCATCATGATCAACTTCTTGTGTTATGCTTGATGAAAGCTCCTTCATTTGATCCCCAAATGGAAACAAAACTCTACCTTGTTGGTGATGATCATTATGAAGAGCTTCAGACCTATTGTTGCTGTTGTGTCCAAGCCCTTGATGATCGGTAGAGAAGGAGAGATTACTTGGCTTGTAATCCACCATTGTTGGAAACCCTGAAGAAGTGTAAAGCACATTGTTTGAATCCATCATTGAACCGGAAGGCATGAATGAGTTAATCCCTGATCTCGCAGAAACATTAACTCCGGTTCTTAAAAGTTCAAGAGCTGAAACAGGAGACGACGAGGAACCATAGAGAGAAGAAGATGATGAAGGCTGCTGCTGATGAGTTAGGTTACCATTTCCCTCCATCTTCGGCATCTGAAGAAACTGAGACATATGGACATGATGATGATGTTGATCTTGCATGACCGGGAAAGACAACAAGTTGAGATCTTGTGATGACCCTTTCGATTTATTATGGATTTGGTTTGAGAAGAGTATTGGTGGGTTTAGATCTGGAAGTGTTGTGGTCAAACCAAGTGAAGATGGTGTCGTCTGAAGGATGTTTGATGAAGATGATCTCTTGTTCTTTCTTGAGCTTCCTCCCACAGGAACATTCCTAAGAGATCCACCTTCGGTCCAATACCTTCGACAACCTTTGCAGAAGTATCTTGGTTGTGTGAGACTATAGTTGTTGTAGTAACAAAACTTTGTGTTGGTTGAGTTACATCTTGGACAATTTAGTTTCTCTTGCGGTCTTGCTTTCCTCTCCGCCACAACCGCCGTATTGTTATTGTTGTTGCTTACGCCGGAGACGGTTGCTCCAGCGGATGAGACACCGTTAGATGTGAGAATGGTGTTTGGCCTTGCATTGGATGTGGTGTTTGATTGATGTGTGTTGTTATTAGGAATCATGATCTGCTCCATTGGTTTTACATTCATCAGTTCTTGAAAACCCTAAAAAAAAGTGAAATTTAAAGAGTTAAGTAGAGCCTAATTTATGTATATGTGTAATTATGTATAGACCATAAATGACTCATAAGTTAAATAATAAGCTAATTAAAACATATGGTTAATTCGCACTATGCTTAGCAATTTTAAGCACTAATTAAACAGAGAATTGAAACATGCACATTAGATTTTCCTGATTTGATATTCGATAGAACTATGTATATATAGGATTCGTGGAAATTGGAAAGAGATGAACACCAAGAACAAAGGGTAAATAACAAATCATGACTTTCTACTAATATCTCCATTAGTTTCTCACAAAGGTAGTTAATGATTAATCACATGAAAAGGCTGAGAAGAAAGTGCCGTGAGCTATAAATATATCTCTAGTAGTTTCTTTCCGACCTCGAAACCTACAAAATGATAATTTTCCCATGCAAATTATTCCTTGAATTATGTGCAAAAACTCTTAAATACACATAACTCTATTCTCAATAACCCACAAATACATCAAGTTCATGATATTCATCTCTATATATAATAACATATGCACACAGAAATATGCATATGATTTAAGTATGAATTCTTTAACGGATCATGGAGAAGGGGTAAGAGAAAGAAAAGAGAGAAAAAGGAAGAAGTAGTTAATAGGAAGAACAAGAAACAAAAGAGAAGAGGCAAAGGAAGATCTTTTAAGCACCTGTGTCCACTTCGTAGCGTCCATGACTTCCGACAAAGAGAAAGCCAGAGAGAGAGAGAGAGAGATGTGTGTGGGTTTTGTTGAGTAAAGGCCAAAGAGAAGAATGTTTTTGGAGAACTTTTTTTTTTTTTCGCCTTTTCTTTGTTTGTGAGTGATGGCTCTTCTATGCGTTGCCTTTCACTTTATGGATGATGAAAAAAGAGCCAGCGAAGAAGACGGAGAAGAGAAGAACCCAATATTTTTAACTTATTATCTAAGAGAATATATAGCTTATAATACATGATTTGTTTCCAGTGAAAAAATTCGGTTCTATTAAAACTATAGTTTAATTATTGATCTATTGAACTGGAAAAAATATATCTGACTATATAGTTTTAGTTTAACTTAATCATATTTTTCTGATAGATAAATGGTAAATGGCGAAATGAGTGGTCAAATCGTACGTATTTGTTTTGCCATTTAGATTATCAACATGAAAAAGATGTTTGATTTAGAGAGCTTACATTATGTTTTTTAATATCATAATTATCATCCGTCTAATTCGGGAGAAAAATAAAGACTAAACTTTTAAGAAAATTTCGGTTATAAAAAGAATAAAAGTAGGAAAAAAGAAAAAGTTGGGTTTGTTGATTTTGACTAGTGATGATGTCTCGTGACCGCTCTCTCTTGCTAGCTCTTTCTGGTCCCTCTTAAGAAAATATACTTTTCTAAGAGAAAAAATCGTGTGTAAGGAATTATGTCCTCTTGCTAAAATAATGGATATAAAAACTCTTATGTGTGTATCATAATGCATAGTGTGAGTGGAACTATGAGTTGTATGCTATTTCTCGGCCTCCCATTTTGTGATTGGATACTATTTGTTGGCCATATGGTCCATCAAATCGCCTAGCTACATTTTTAAAATCCCAATACCATACCTATTTGTATATACACCACATGTCCTGCGTACATGTGATCAGTGGCTTTGACACCTAAATTTAGCTCGACTTTAAACCTTTTACTAAATCTATATTCAATAGTACTCGTTATAAAACCTTATACTTATACGATCTCGATTTTATAAAACCGATGAGACTCGTTAATGGTTGAAAATCCAAAAACTAAAAGAATGATTAATTATACGGCTTTTGAAAGTTCTTTTCTTTCACTTACATAACTTTAAATTTTATGAAATAAAAACTTTTGAAAATGTTGTGACTTGTGACGGTAGTTATGGTACATTTTTTTTATCCTGTTATACAATTTTGCAATCAAATATTTTTAAAAATAAAATTTGCTCATACTATTATTCCTTTGTTTGTTTGATTGCGACATTACATAATGTTACCAAACAACACCAATATCTAGTAGGAGTAACATTTATTTTAGCAATAAATAGCTTTTCAGATGTAATCAAAGGGTCATTAGTTAAATATGGGCTATGAATGGTTGTATAATATGCTGCAGCAGAACGGACTAAAATCGTATCAGTCTGCACTTAATTCTCCATTTACTATTTCGAACTAGTATGCACTGTTGCATACTAAAGATCTCCATATTAGTATGTACTTCAGCATACTTCTCCATATCATCATAAATTCACTGTTGGTCCGCATTTTTTCATTCCACTCTCCAAAAGCTTCATACCAACATAAACTCCATATTACAGTCCAATATTTTGCATACTAAAATATTAGTATGCATTGTCCTGTCCGTATCATAACTACCAACCATTCAGGGCCATGATTTGAATTAAAGTGTTAAGATCAACATCTAATTAATATTTACACAAACACATCTTATTAAATATATACTGCGAAATATGTACGTACACGGAAAATTCATGAGAGCTATAGTAAACCGTGTGAACCTTATAGGTAAATGATTCAACATGAGTTATAAAGCAAATTAATCGCCATTTAAAAAACCTGATACACAACTTTTTTGTAATGAATGAATTGACTCCTTTATATCAATTCATAGATTCATTTGGCACAATTATACAACGAATAATAAACTAAAAAGAAATCCAAGTGATTTTTTTTTTATAAATAAAATACTAAAGGAGTATTAGATTGCATCTATATGGAATTTTCGAGGAGGAGAATTTTGAAAAAAAGGAGGAGGGAGGAGAAGAATTTAGAAAAGAGAAGACCGACAGGAAGCGACAAAAAGGAGGTGGAGCTGGGCCCCACAATTCGTGGCGTGATTGTGATTTTTTTAATATTATTTACTCCATCCGTTTCGTTTTAGTTATCGTTTAAGGTTTTCTCACACAAATTAAGAAAAACATTAAATTTTCTGTTTTACCTTTTATTAATATATTTTATAAAAAAATTCATTGGCCGAAACATTAAAACAGTAGGGATAAAACTGGAATTTTTATAAAACATTTGCATCGAAAACCTAAAACGACAACTATTATGAAACAAAATTTTAACTCTAAAACGATAAGTAAAAAGAGTATCTTACAAATCTAAAAGACTGTTGTAATTTTATTTTTCTTTCTCGATGTTGACATCTGTCTTCTCTTACCCAACACCTTCTCCCACCCAATAAAAATCTCTCTCTCCATCTTATCGTGTCGTTTCACTGTTCCAGCTTTCCTTTGCCTGCCGTTTTGCTTTAACGACTTGTCAATTGCCACATGTCTTTCTAGGTGTTCGGTTTAGTCGGTTCGCAGACAATTTTTTCTTTAATAAATAATTTGGGTTCAATATTAAATTTTGGCCCAATAAGTACATTCAGTCATCAAGTTAAGAGGCCCGATACTATCAAGCTATTAAAACGACACCGTTTGATAGTGACGGAATTATCTAATTCACTAACATGGCAAAAGGTCGGAGGAAGTTAGTAAGTGACGAAGACGACGATGGGAACAAATGTAGCGCCATGGAAGCAGCTTCTCTTTGGCGCCATTGAAGCCAATTCTCATCTAAGCCACTCTTCTTACTTTCAGCTCGTATGTGTCTTCTTTCTGATTTTGCTGTTTTTCTCCAACGAGCGATGTTGTTGATGTTTTTGTGTGTGTTTTCACTTTTCAGGCAACGATTGGTTTCAATGGACGGCCTTCGAATCGTACCGTCGTATTCAGGTGACACAAATTCCTGATTTCTCTGTGTATTTGTCAAATTTTGATTTTGTTGGGTAGTGAGAAATTTTGTGTGTGTTTGGTAGGGGATTTGAAGAGAACAGTGACAGGATTCAAATCAACACCGATCTTCGTAGTCGTAAGGTCTTTGTTATTTTCCAGATTGATTATGTTGAAGCTGCTTCCGGATTTTAGCTCTCTTTGAAGTTTGATCCTGTAACATTTCTGTTGTAGATAGAAGAGCTTAAGCATTGTCCGTTTTCTGAGGTAAGCAATCTATTTGAGTTCGATTTGGATTATACATTGTGTATCGAAGAATCATGCGTTGATTCTACTGTGGTGATTGTTTTTTTTTAAAAAGATATGTTGGTATTTCTCGGATACTTGGGAGCAATTCCGGATCAATGGAAGAATTGAGCTCATTGATGCGTCCAATCCTGACCAGACCAAGCTTCAGGTTTTTTATATACATTATTTCAATTTTAATACTATCTTGGAAAGGAAGAAACACTTATTGATGTTAATTGCTTTGATGTATATAGCAAAGAGAAAAAGCTTGGTTTGCTAATTCTTTAAGGTCAAGGCTGATCTACATCTGTCCTACTCCCGGTAGTCCTTGCAACAACGAACAATCAAACCAACAAGTTAATTTAGATCCCTCGACTGGTCCAGTTCCTGAGTACTGCCTGCTGCTTCTGGAGCCAGAAAAGGTTTTGTTTTTCATCTTCTTATAAAACTTTCTTTCTTGAGTTGTCCCCTACGTAGAAGCATGTTTTTCATGAATGATTTCCCTTTAATGACAGGTTGATTACTTGAATCTGAAAAGTAATCAGAGGCTTTTGTTTTCGTCGATGGCTAGTGGAGCTGGAGAGAAGTCCTGGACTTCAGAAAAGGTTAACCCATAATTAACTTTTTATGTCTGAGAGGGTTATTAAAGATATATTTCTTATTTGTGTTTGTTTGTGGATTTCCCTTGTGTGATACACCACACTTTGTAGCAATTCAAAATCCTTTTACTTTTACTCTTCACTTCCGAACATCGCCGCCATATAATTAAAATATCTGAATAAAAGAATCTGAATCTTTTTCTTCTATACCATAGTCTCTATCCATTTTGAATGACATTCATATGCTCTAGAATAATGAATAAGAGCAAGGCAAATGGAAGTGTGTAGTTCTATTTCCGTGGTTGTTACCAAAAAAAAATCTTCCTCTGAAAACTAGTTCCCTGTCACCATTTGTTAATTTCAATGAAGCTAGCACTTTGGTAGATCTGCAGGAGGATGAGGTAGACTCTCTTGCACCTTCTTGCCATTTTTCACTATAAACATTGTGCTCATTCCCCATGTTTGATGGATGTCGAAATGACAATGCAATAACCAGAGCCCTATTCATTTTAAAAGGTCGAATTTATCAGCAAATGTCACTGTGTATTGTGATGTTAAAGAGTTTTGTGAAGAAGAATACCTGGATTGTTGGCAACAAACCGAATTGCCGCCCATCCTCCTACTGGGACTCCAATAGTGTTCATGTAAGGAGGATCCTCCAGGTTAAATTGTGCTGTCTGTTGATCATAGTTACCTGTGCCATAGCCAATAACATAAAAGCTGTGTCCATGAAGATGAATTGGATGATTTTCTGTTGTGAGTGTGCCAGTATTCTGGAAGATGATTTGTATCCTGCTCCCATACTCGAAAACTATTGCTCTTGTCCCATTTGCAGCCTGCGTGTCATTGGCTATGTCATTAGGTGCCCCATTGACAAAGTCATAGGCTTTTTCCGGCGTGGTTGGGAAATCTAAAGTGAAGTAACCTTCCAGTTGCTTGTAATAAGCTTCTAAAATCGAGATTTTAGGTTCGACGAAGCTGATGTTGTTCATTGAAGCTGCTAGTCGTCCTTTTCTGGGCCCTTGGCACTTGTTGTTTGGATTTTCAGAGTTACACTTGTTTACATTTATCCCGATTGTGATAAAGAGATGAGCGTCAATGTTTCTTGGAACATCAACTGCATTTAGACTTCTGAGCCCATCCATGACAGTCTTAACAGCAATATTATCATTGAAAATAGGTAACTTAGCTGGTACTGTTACACTGTTAGGCAATGCACCAATGTATTGGAAATTAGCTATCGCTGATGTGTTTTGAAACTCGACGTTCTTTGCAGACTCGTATGGACCCATGGCCATGGAGTATCTCCCAACGGCTTGATCAGCTGTGACAAGAATGTTCATTGTCTGTCCAGGTACAAGCATCACACGCTCTGTTGTATAAGGTTTGGTGTATTCGCCATCTACTTCCACTATGGTCAACCTGTGATTAGCTATGGTGAAGAATGTCTCCATGTTAATGCCAGCATTTATCAGCCTTAGCAGGTATGTCTTCCTTGGTACTATCTGAATCTCATAAACATCTGAAAAATAAAGATTTAAAAACGAGAATCAGTAAATCTTTTTTCTTGTTGTAAATTAATTATACAATTTTTCATCAAAATATTTATTACCTTTAGAGGAGCAATTGTAGTTAGGTCCTGGTTGACCATTAATTGTGAATGCGTCTGCTGGAGGAGGAGGTCCTCCACTTTCCAGTACATGTTGTTCCAGCTCTACCACGTTCTTAAGCCAATACTCTCCTAGATTTATTTGGAGACAAACAAGTTCAGTGACACCAAATAGTGAAAGAGTCTTACTTTATTAAGAATAAAGATTACCTAGAAGAATTGTATGCTCGTTGAAGGGTTTCTTGAATGGGTAAGGAACAGATGCTTTAGGATATACAATAAGCGGACCATATACTGTAGCTCTAAGCCAAGAAAAGTGTGCATGCCATAAAAAGGTGCCCTTTTGTTGTGCCACTTTGAAGTTGTATGTGAAACTTTGTCCACTCTGAATTGGACATTGTGTGATATAAGATGGACCATCATACCAACATGATAATTTTTGCTTAATACCATGCCTGCACATAATAGAAAATTTGTCTTATATGCATTTATTTTTACTTTGTGTTCATGTGTATATGTATATCGGCATACCAATGAATTGTGGTATTATAGGGGGTCATATTGATGACTTTAACGACAATTCTGTCATCTTCTTGAGCAGATATCGCCGGGCCAGGGAATTTCCCGTTGACTGTTACAATCTCGTTTGTTTGGCATAGCCTGGTTAGTCTTATTGTTTGTACCTGTTAGAAAATTCAGTGACACAAAAGACCTCTGTTTAGAAATCTGAATACAGAGAAGATAGACAAAAAAGGCATGCATAAGATGTAAAATGTGTCCCATATTGATTCTATTATGAATATTTATGTAACATTTACGTTGCTGATACCTTGAATTGGTAGAACCTAGTTGTAGCGCTAACCCTGCCAACATTCATGACTTGAAGAGTGAACAAGAAAAAGCTAAGCCGGAACAAGCAAGGGGCAGCTGAATCGGTCATCTTGAATGAAAAGGGACAAGGAGATTTGAGGTTGAAAGGTACTGATCAATGCAACTGGTTTTTATAGTGTTTGAAGACGAAACATAGGAAATATAATATATAGTGTTGAGAAAAAGTTTCATGATTTGGAGAGTTGGTAACAGAGACATTAGTGATTATAAGGTGTTGGGAAGGCGTGACTTGTTTCTTGACCCCAGCGTGAGATTGAAGGCAACACACGAGTTACTATAAAAGGGTTTGAAAAAGGAGAAAGATACTCTTAGTTAGTGTCTGCTCTTTGATTTTGAATCTGTAAAAGCTTTACACATTATGATGCAAGATTCTCTACCAAACTTGTGAAACCGCGGGGTGATCTGGACCAACCCGGTTTTCACCAAAGACTACCAAAGCAACTTTCTTCTTCAAGCTCAGTGGAACCGACCTGGTGACTATTCCTTTTGACCTGTCGTTATTCATCAACTTTATACATACGAGTTTTAGGATTAGCCCGGATAAGTGAGGTGCATGATTTAGTATCATTAGAGAGTGTTTAGTAGGGTCGTGTTTGGTATTTTAGAGTGTTAAAAGAGAAAGAAGAAGAAAGAGTAAGAAGGGATCAAGTTTCTTGGTCGGAAGTTTGGATGGTCTTAATTCTTTATTGGTCGTGTCATCATCAAAGTTCGTGCACGCCTTAACTTGCCAAAGACTCATCTTATTTGTTTCTTTTTTTTATTTTTTTTTTTTTTTTTATTTTTTAATTCTGATCTTGTTTTTAGATTGGAACATGATGATTGATTCGAATTTTGACCAACTCATTTTTTCTCATACTCTAAAGGGCTAAAATGTTAATGCGTTTCTTTACATGAAGATGGTCGTTGATTATGTTTTGACTGATTCATACATTTTTGAGTTTTGACATATTCTGCCAAATCATACCACACGAATACAAACATATTTTAATGTAATGGATGCCAACCTGCTCATTCGCTTATAATAATGTTAAACTAAAAGTTATGTTAAAAAAAATATCTATTCGTTTATATAAAAAAAAAATAATGTTCTGATTAAGAAAATACGCATTTATGTTATAAAAAATATACGATGAAAGTGTTTTATCTTCTTATTTATATTAAGAGAATTGTGACAATATATTTAGACTATAATCAAAATTCATATAACTAATTCTATCTTCACAACTCTATATATATTTTATTAGCTAAGTGAAAAAATTATTACATAAATTAGTGGAGTAGTCGCAAAAATGGACCGTTAACCACTGGGATAAATACACTTCCCCTACCTGATAGGCTGATACACATTAAATTAGTATTTTAATCATAAAATTAGACAGTTAAAATACAATGAGGCCCAAATGAGATATGGGCCTAATTGAGATATAAGCTCGAGCTGAAACCTTCTGATTTAGAAGGAGGGTTCGATGATCCTTCTACTGGTAAGTAATTTGTAGCACAAACGGAAAATTTGGTCTAAGATTTGAGTTTCCGTTAAAACCCGTGATTATGCCGGCGACGAGTCACGACGCGATCTCACCGGTCACAGATCCGATCGATAATTTGCCTCTCCGGCAAATCAGATCGGAGATCGTTCCTCCAGCTCCGAATCGATCCCAATCTTCTATTGACTGGCTTCCCGACTTCGCCGGTTACTCATGGCTTGCTTATGGAGCATCCACTCTCCTCGTCATCTCTCATCTACCTTCTCCTCTCCGCGGCGAAGATTCCACGAACGGACCATTTTTCCGTCAGATTCTAGAGGTTTCCGGCGATGTTTCGTCTCCAGTTACTTCCGTTTCCTGGTCTCCTGTAACGCCGTCAGTAGGCGAGCTCGCGGTTGGGTCTGGGAACTATATCTTCCTCTTCGCGCGTGATTCCAGTGCTTTGAATGGTAAGCCTCGATATAGAGCTTGTTATTCTTCGTTCTCTGGGGTTTAGTTTCTGAGCAAGTGGTCTGTATTGTGGTACCATTGGGTTACGAGATAATGATTGTCCATCTTCTGGGTTCAATTAGTAATACTGGTTCTTAATGGTTATCCATCTTCTGGGTTCAATTAGTATAGTGATATAATAATGTGTCTTTCTTTCTTCTCCTCCCAAATTTAGTTTGGATATCTTAAATATGAATGTCTTTACTCATATTCAGGTTCTTTTTGTTGGAGTCAGAATGCCATACTGGTGCAAGAGACAAAAGTTGAGGCGATTGAGTGGACAGGATCCGGGGATGGGATAATAGTTGGTGGAACTGATATTGTTCTGTGGAAGAGAAGGAACCAATCTTGGGAAATAGCTTGGAAGTTCTCGGGGGATCACCTTCAAGATCTGGTATCCTCCACCTGGTCATTTGAGGGTCCTTTTGCCACAGCAACTTCTTGGAGGAAGCTTCCAGATGAGTGTGGCGAGGCAGGTAAAAGTGTCTTGGCCTATTATAGTGATGGGGAATCATATCATAAATTTGAATTGCCACATCCTCAGAGAATATCCATGATTCAGTGGAGACCGATGGCTGCAGAACAGTCTGCAATAGGTATAGGGAAATCAATGAGGAATCTGTTAATGACATGTTGCTTGGATGGGGCAGTAAGGTTATGGAGTGAGGTAGATGGTGGAAAGACAAAAAAGGGCATGAAAGATGTACCTGATCATAAAAAATCGTTTTGTGTGGCAGCTGTGATAGAGATAAATCAGGTCTTGGATGGCTGTTTGGGTAGAGATTTATTTCTTTTTTGGGGAACTCGTACAGGAGGTATATTGAAAACCACCGAAGGTACTAATCAATTTTTTTCTATGGAAAAGTATGATCATGAGAATGTTGGAAAATGTGAGTGGTTGGTAGGGTATGGCCCTGGAAATTTGGCTACTTTGTGGGCTGTCCATTGTCTTGATGACATCTCTCCTATGAGGTTTCCACGAGTAACATTGTGGGCGAAACAAGAATCAAATGAAATTGGTGCAGTATCACTCTCTCTAGCGGATGCTACAGGTTCTTCTGATCGATTACCCCTTAAGAAAGTTTCTGTATTGAGAAATAACCTTTATGGCACACCACTTATCTGCTCGTCGATTTATTTATCTCCGCAGAATACTGTATATTGGTCTTCCTTGCACACAATAAAATCACATGACTCAGAAGATTCATCTCCAAATAAATCCAGTTTATTGAAGTGCATTGATGGAAAAGTATTATATCTAAATGGTCATGGTGGGAAAATCCTACAGGTTGCCTTTGATCCTTTCATAGGTGAGGCGGGATACACTGCTTCCCTGGATTCTAATGGTTTGATAATAATCTGGTCCTCTAGTACTTATTTGAACCGTGCTATTGACCATCCTATATCAGTTGCCTCTTGGAAACCTTGTGGATGGCTACAAAATCAAGAGTTCAGATTAAAGTACACAAGTTTATGCTGGGCACCTTCTTCATTGAAAGATGAGAGATTTCTACTTGTAGGACATGCAGGAGGCGTTGATTGCTTTAGTGTAAGGAATTGTGGGAAAGGTGATGATGGTTATCTAACCCATTACATTTGTACCATACCGTCTGCAGTTAACAGCCCCTTGCAGAGTGGTCCAACCAGCATATTTGCAAGACCTCTGTCTAATTCTTGTGGAAAGACATTCAAAAGTAACAGATTTTTGCTTCTGAGTGTATGGATGAAAGAGAAACAGTTTGATGCTCTGTCATGGAGTGTGACCTTGCATCATTTTGATACTGCAGGAAGCACCTGCGTTTGTCATTTTCATGATTTTGATAGTACTGGATTGGGAAAGTGGTTATTCGAAGATACTTTTGCTGGTAAGAAGAATTGCATTGCTATTAGGTCATGCTCTTCAGAAATACCTGAATCTCACCGTGACGATGAAGTTACGAGTTTTGCTGTGGTCAATCCAAGTGGCAGGGCTATAGAGAATGTCATGAACAGTGAAAGTCAAGCTTATACTATGGCAACTGGTCAGGCTGATGGCTCTTTAAAAATTTGGAGAAGTAGTTTTCAGGAAAGTTCAACACCTTGCGTTCCGTGGGAGCTAGTTGGCATGCTTACCATTGGCCAAAATCCTGTCAGTGCTATATTTCTGACTGATTCGGGACATAAGATAGCAGCCCTCTGTACAGAGAATCATTCAAAAGCTACCTGCACAATTAGCATATGGGAGATTATACACCTTATAGATTCAGGGGTTTTCATACTAGAGGATAAGTTACATGTTGATGCAGAGGTTGTTGCTGTAAGATGGTCAATTGCGAGTAATGATCAGCTATTGCTTGGAGTTTGCACACAGAAGGAGCTGCGGGTGTATGGTATTGCTCGGCAGTCCTGCAAAAGTACCAGTTTCGCGGTCTCTGATTATTCTTCAGAGGCACAGATTTGGCAATGCTTCGCTGTTACTCATACATTTTCTGCTATATGTGATTTATGGTGGGGACCCAAAGCCATGACTTGTCTTGTTCATAACGATTATATTAGTCTACATGGTCAATGGCTGGCTGTTGTTGATAAGAAACAAAAGATCGATAACTATCCAGAAATTTTTGCAGCCAATCTTCCCAACCTAGTAAATGCTACAGAAGAAGGCAGAGGCTCTGAATTGTTATCTGACTCTGGTACTAATGATATCAAAGAAGCTGATACTGCATATATTAGCAGAGGATGTATTCCTCTACCTTCAACTAGTAATGCAATTGATGACGGGCAAGTCAATAGTATGTCATTGATTGGGACCGCATATGGTTCAGATACTATTAATGAAATTATGAGCATGGGACATATGGTGGAGAAGTTAGGAGGTGCTTTACCACTTTATCACCCTCAAGCCCTCCTTGTAGCTATACATTCAGGTGAAATGCTGCAAGTGTTTTCTGTTTTGCTCTTCTTCAATCAATTCTGAAGCGAAGCTGTTTAGCTTTTATTTAGCTTTCCTTTCTTATTTTTCCTTCGTGCAGGAGCATAACCTGTGTGATGCGGTTAATTTCACCTTAGCTAAAGATTGTTAACTCTAATGTGTTCAGGCAATTGGAAACGAGCAAGCGCAGCTCTAAGACATCTTTCTGAATATATTACTTCAAGTGATGCCTCCGAGAAGGTATATACTGTAAAGTCAGTTCTTTGTCCAGATATCCTTTTGTCAAAATATTATGAAGGGTCTCTCTCCACTGGTCCAAATCCTAAGGATTTCCAATGGGGTGGGACATCTGGTTCAAGTTTTAATATGGAATCGTATAGTCCCAATAGTAGTCACAGTTCACCTGCAACAGACTTGGAATTTAGTGGCTTCTGCGAGCAGCTCAAGAAGTTATCAGATGGAGGAAATATTTCCAGGATAGAAAAATTGCAATATTTTGCAATTGCTGACCTTCTTTGTGAAATTAGTAACCCACATTCTACTTCTGTCTATGCAAGTCTTGATGAAGCTGGGAGAAGGTACGATAGTTCTTCAAACTTTTTTAATTCTAGTTTACGAAGTACCAATTAATATGGTGTTTCCTTGAAATATGTTCCATTGAGCATGTTCGTATTCTCCTTTAACCTGTAAAAACTGAAAGATCACATTTATGTTTAATTAGCAAGGCCACATTGCTCCCTTATTAAAAAAAAGCTGGTTTGCGGCTTCTTATGTTAACATTAGTTACAAAATATTGATCAGAGGGTATTGTAGTACTGGGGGCAGTTTTTCGCTTTGCTTCATGAATGATACTTTATGCTGCTTGGTATTCATGGAATTTTGTGTTCTTTCTGCTGTGTAGATTTTGGGTCACACTTAGGTTTAAACAGCTATTCTTAGCTCGAAGTTCTGGGAAAACAGCATCTCTAGAAGAGCTGGATATTGACTCTAGTATGATAGGATGGG